AAGATGCAGGATTTTAAGAGCAGGAATGACATGAAATGCATGAAGTAGAGCAATTCCTTAAGGACCTTGACAGTTTTTTTTTTTTTCTGTTCTTTTATAGCCTTCACTTTTTTCTCCTTTTTAAGGCAGTGGATATATTTGGCAAGCATCAAGTCTGTTCTTTACATACAGTTGTAGTTAGAGAAGACTAAGAAATAACTTTCATTTTTTATTGAAGGTCTCTTTCTTTTTGCCTTTTTTTCATCGCTTTAATAGATCTGTCACCCTAGAATTTTAATTCAGTATAACACACTCATTGGAGAGCTAAGCTTCAAATTATATTATTTATATATTGTTTATCAATGCAGATGAAGGTTCTTGACCAAATATATCCATCTCTGTCTCCATTCCTTTGGGATTTCAAGGTAGATCTTTCTTCTCAATGTTGTTTTCCTGCCTAAGTAGGTAATTCATAATTGTTTTCCTCAGAGCAGCCGCTTATCTACTAGCTGATCCATTAACACTGTTACTCTGGTCTCCTTTTTGTGAATCTATAAAGGGAAGAGGAAATGAGTAAGGTACCTTGCAGTGTGGCAGTAGATTGCAAAGTTGCAGTTAGATCTTCCTGAGTCTTTAGAGCACAAAGAATCTGACATGAAAGCAATAAAACGGTCATTTTCTACCTGTGGAAAATGGAGTCCTGGGGAGATGGCCAAGGCCTGTAGTTACTGACAGTGTAACTGGGGCAGACAGCTGCACGGCAAATGTCTGAGAGCTCTGCATCTCCTTTAGAAATACTCCTACTTTGAAAGTAGACTATTTTAGAAACACAACTTAAAAGAACATTGAAAATCAGTCCTTAAGAAGTTCCTTACAAAATGTGTAGGGGTCTGACCCCTATCTATCAGCTAACTACAACATAAGACTAAAAGTGGGTTCACTTGCCTGACATTTTCTAATAATCAGTTTAATGGGGAAAAACTTTTGAGAGCTTTTTCTGTGCATCAGTTTCTTTCATAATGTTTTGGGAGCTGTGCCGCTAGAGTCATAGCAGAGCGGTGGCTGCTGCATACCTCTTCTCTCCTCATCAGAGATGTGATCCTGTAGAAACGGCATCTTAGTCTTGCCCACATTGGCTTCCTCTGTGCCTTGAAAGTTGTATTTACTTTGTCTACTGAAAAAACACATTTTGACTATGTCAGCACTCCAGAGCCAATAAAGCTGAGGTGAAGGGAGTTGTTTTCTCCTCTGCTTTATGCACCATTGCCAGTAGAATGACCGGCTAGGGCCTCCACAAGCTGCTGGCCTCTCTCCCTAGCCCAGGAAAGGCTGGCATCATACACAGTGTCTGGATCAGGCCCTTTACCTCAGGGTTTCATTTATTGGTTTCATTGACTGTTTTCAGCAAACCCCCAAATAAACCAGTTGGATGGGAATCCAAATCTCTTTTTCCTCTGACCTCACGGCCTCTGGCAGATCTGTTCCTGGCAGCTCTTCCCCAGTGCTGCTATCAGCCGTTACACCAAAAAAAATCTTGGGCCACGAGTGACTTGTGTCACTTCAGCTTCCCTAGAGACTTCAGGGCCTCTCCAGGAGCTCAGTGCTGCCCCGCAGACACCTGCGCTTTAGGAATTGCCAGCCCCCAGTCTGATAATTCCTAAATTACCCCAGTTTGCTCTGCTCAGAAGGGCAGCTCTGGCCCTTGAAGAGGCAGCTGACCTGCAGCACCCCCGTTCCTGAAGGCTTGGCCTCCTACACGTAATTTGGTTCATGAGGTCACTCAGAGACCGGTCACTAAAATACTTGCTCTCATGCCAGCCTATTAAAATGAGCATATTAAAGAAAGAATACAGGACATCAGGATGTAACTTCTGAAGTTTAGCTTTCTGCTGAAGTTCTGCTATTTTAACCTGGTATTGTTATCTGTGCCTCTGTGTTTAAACAAAGTTTAAAAATGACTACAAAAATGACTACACTATTTGCACTGACTTAGAGCTTACTACCTCTTCCTGGCCTTTTCTTTGGCCAGCATTGCCATGTACGCAATGAAGAGGAATTGGCTCATACCAGTGGCAGGTTTTGCCAGTAGCTCACTGGGAAAAGGGGCTGATCTAACCTAATATTTGACTAAGCTCGCAAAATTCCATTACAAAGTAGAAGTGTAGCATCAAAGATTCCTTGAGAAGGAGCAAACCAGAGGAGCGAACCCAGGCAGGAGCAGATTCTCTGATCCTCACTCACCCCACATATGCATGTTCTAGTTAGCCAGAGCAGCCCATCCTTACCCACAGTATCAATAAAATCCCCCTAAAATAGGTCTGGTTCCTGCACTGAGATCAAGTTGGCTGGTCACAAGAACATGGGGAGGGAGAAAAGTGCAGATAGAGACACCTCCAAAAGCCGTTTGCTTTTTCACCATCTTCACAAGCTCTCCCTCCTGAAAGCAGCCACAGACACCTCTCCAAAACCTGCTTTCACAGTACTACAAAGCTTAATGTTGCTGCAGTGCAGTTGAGCAAATAAGCCTCTAGTTCCTTATTCATGTTCCTCAGCAAAATTCAGTGCTGCCTCCAGTGAGAAACCATGGATCACCTGTATGTGGGCAGAGCCGATGTCATGAGACACCACTCCAGCTTTGGCCTGCAGCGGGCAGAAAAGGGTGTGTATAGGAGTAAAGGGGGGTTGAACAAGCCCTCCCCAGCTCAGCTCGGTCTCGTGGGCAAGGTTCTCGGAGGCTGGAGTGGCGCAGGGGCTGAAGGAGGCCGAGACGCCGGCTCAGAGGCTGAGACAGAGGCACTTGTGCCTGGGTGCTCTCGCTTCATCTGCGCAGAGCTTTGCACCTCCAGGTCCTGCTCATGTTCAGCATCGAAGCCCTAAATCCAGCCAAATGTTTGTCTGAAGTTCCTGATAAGTTTCTGCTCCTTGAAATGTTTTTGATTTTCTTTTGAAAGATAAGTGTGCTCTCTCACTTATTCCCAAGGACAATTTGTATGCCAAGTTTCAGCAATAAGCAATATCCTCATCAGGTTCTAGGTGAAGCTAGGGACCCAAACAGCCAGATAAAAAGAAAAATCTAATAAAACTCCAGACGATCCTTAACGGATGCTGTAGTAGCAAATGTCACTGGGTAGAGCTGGGGCAAGTTTTTCACCTTGTGACATTTGTTTCAGTTGTTATGTATTATTTATAAAGTGCCCTACATGCTTAGGAATAAAGAAAAATAAGACTTAAAGCAGCATTATTTTAGCTTTTACAAAGGAAGTGAAAACAGTTGAAAAAACATAGCTAATTTTTAGAAAAACAGCTCAGCCTGGTAATACAATCTGTATATTACTTTCATAATGAGCCTAAATTTGAAAGGTAAGGTATAAAAATACATAAATAATTTAGGTGTAATGACTAAGCTTCAGACCCATTAAACTTAGGCTCCTAAGTGCCTAAATAGCCTGCAGGAATGGGATTCAAGCACTTCGGGATATTTTACTGAAATCTTAGTAGAAGGCTCACCCCCCTCATCTGTGCTGTCATGCTCTCTCAAGTGCTCTTCCTGAGAATAATTCCACAATGGAAGCTGCATTTAGTATTGGTTTTTAAAGATGTTTTAAGTATTTGCTGACGAGGGGGACTTTCTGTCTTCTCTGTATGGACAGGGAGCTCAGCTCCATGCCCAGCAGTTGTGTTTCTGATGGGAAAGCTCTAGAGAAGTTAACAGAAAAACAAAATGACAAGTTGTGCAAGGAATTCACTGACGAATTATGATGTGCCGGAGCAAAGTGCGGTGCAGGCAAGTCAGTGGGATTGGCGCGTGAGGAGCTCCGGAGCCCCGCGCTGAGGGTCTCCTCGCGCCGCGGGCTCGGGCTCCTGCAGCGGTTTCTACCCGCGCTGCGCAGCCGGGCCCGGGCCGGTGGTGGCGGCGGTCGGCGCGGTCCCCTCGGCGCGGTCCCGCGGGAGCAGCCCGAGGAGGGCCCGGCAGAGCCGCCGCTTG